ACATAAATTGAGCTTTGACCACAGGAATAAATTAAACTTTACTATATATTCACTTAGAAAACTGTTATTTTACATTGTAATAATATTTCATAATTTTTACTGTATTTTTGATCACATAAATTGAGCTTTGACCACAGGAATAAATTACACTTTACTATATATTCACTTAGAAAACTGTTATTTTACATTGTAATAATATTTCATAATTTTTACTGTATTTTTGATCACATAAATTGAGCTTTGACCACAGGAATAAATTACACTTTACTATATATTCACTTAGAAAACTGTTATTTTACATTGTAATAATATTTCATAATTTTTACTGTATTTTTGATCACATAAATTGAGCTTTGACCACAGGAATAAATTACACTTTACTATATATTCACTTAGAAAACCGTTATTTTACATTGTAATAATATTTCACTATTTTTCCTGTATTTTTGATCAAATAAATTCAGCCTTGATCACAGGAATAAATTACACTTTACTATATATTCACTTAGAAAACTATTATTTTACATTGTAATAATATTTCACTATTTTTCCTGTATTTTTGTTCACATAAATTGAGCTTTGACCACAGGAATAAATTACACTTTACTATATATTCACTTAGAAAACTGTTATTTTACATTGTAATAATATTTCATAATTTTTACTGTATTTTTGATCACATAAATTGAGCTTTGACCACAGGAATAAATTACACTTTACTATATATTCACTTAGAAAACCGTTATTTTACATTGTAATAATATTTCACTATTTTTCCTGTATTTTTGATCAAATAAATTCAGCCTTGATCACAGGAATAAATTACACTTTACTATATATTCACTTAGAAAACTATTATTTTACATTGTAATAATATTTCACTATTTTTCCTGTATTTTTGTTCACATAAATTGAGCTTTGACCACAGGAATAAATTACACTTTACTATATATTCACTTAGAAAACTGTTATTTTACATTGTAATAATATTTCATAATTTTTACTGTATTTTTGATCACATAAATTGAGCTTTGACCACAGGAATAAATTACACTTTACTATATATTCACTTTAGAAAACTGTTATTTTACATTGTAATAATATTTCACTATTTTTCCTGTATTTTTGATCAAATAAATTCAGCCTTGATCACAGGAATAAATTACACTTTACTATATATTCACTTAGAAAACTGTTATTTTACATTGTAATAATATTTCACAATTTTTACTGTATTTTTGATCCCATAAATTGAGCTTTGATCACAGGAATAAATTACACTTTACTATATATTCACTTAGAAACCCGTTATTTTACATTGTAATAATATTTCACTATTTTTCCTGTATTTTTGTTCACATAAATTGAGCTTTGACCACAGGAATAAATTACACTTTACTATATATTCACTTAGAAAACTGTTATTTTACATTGTAATAATATTTCATAATTTTTACTGTATTTTTGATCACATAAATTGAGCTTTGACCACAGGAATAAATTAAACTTTACTATATATTCACTTAGAAAACTGTTATTTTACATTGTAATAATATTTCATAATTTTTACTGTATTTTTGATCACATAAATTGAGCTTTGACCACAGGAATAAATTACACTTTACTATATATTCACTTAGAAAACTGTTATTTTACATTGTAATAATATTTCATAATTTTTACTGTATTTTTGATCACATAAATTGAGCTTTGACCACAGGAATAAATTACACTTTACTATATATTCACTTAGAAACCCGTTATTTTACATTGTAATAATATTTCACTATTTTTCCTGTATTTTTGATCATGCTAAGCAGAAGAGACTTCTTTCAAAAGCATTATAAAGACACCACAGAAAGCGCCTGAAGTTTAAGAGAGCGTTGAGCAGGTGATCCTCCATCAGAATCGCGTATAAGATCGTTTAGTTGAGCGATTAAGAGTGAAAACAGAAGATAATGAGACAAAAGCACTTGCAGGAAACATTTCCCCCAAAAAACATCTTGTACAAGAACAAGTCTGTACAAAAACACAACCGCAGAAACCCGAGTCTGGATCCAGCTCAACAATCTAAGCCTTTCAAACAGAAGGCCAAAGCAATCAAGCAAACTCCAGGAACACTGAGATGTGTTTGCATGAGAGAGAGGAGCGAGAGTTCACTGGATAAAGGTTCTGATGAAGAGCTGATGTTTGGTTTATGTGAATGATCAGACGAAGCAGAGGACGGAAGGGCGGCGCTTTGTTTATTGGACGTGTTTGAAAGGAGTCTGACGGAAAGCAAGCATGAAGAAACCCCAGCGCTCGAATCTGGCGTCCATCCGGGATCCAGACGGCACGGGGAACATCTGATGATGTTTGGAGGAGGAAACACTCTGTCCAAGGCACTTTCGCAATGAAGAAACTGAAGATTTAATAACTGGAGGAAGCAAGAATATATCTTGTTTGGGGTTGTTGTACATCAAGTGTAATAAACTGGTCAGAGTCTGTGGCTGATGTTGGAGCGTTTGCCAGTGATTGTGTAGATATGATTGTCTTTACACATGCAGACAGGGCCAACAGGTTTTAACCGCTGATAACGAGGAACAAATACTCTCTGGGTTTAGTTTGAGAGTTTGTGAAGACCTTGTTATGGAAGATTTCAAAGCTACGGCATGATCTAATGGGGGAGAAATGTTGATGTTTTGACATTACATTTTTATTTTTTTAATATTTTATTTTTTATTTTTTTAAATAAATAAAAAAATATTTATTTATTAAACACTAAATATGTTTTATTTAAAATTAAATACAATTTTATAATTTAAAAAAATATATATTAATAAATAAAAATTAAAAACTATATATATATATATATATATATATATATATATATATATATATATGGGAAATAACATTGAGAATTAGCCTCGGCTAAAATGTTGTAGTCTGAAACAAGAGCTTATGTAGCGTATTCAAATAAACTGAATAAATATTTATAACAATATTAATTAATGTACAAAATTTAATAAATGAAGAAGACAAGACAACTCAAGAAAGCCTGTCCAAAAATATAATTTTCCTTATAAATTATTACTACTAAATAAAATCCTATTATTATAGATTATCATTTTCATTATCTCTCCTTGGATTAAATCAATATTTATTCAATTAATTGATGTATTTATACACTTGGATCTTCCACAGACTGGAAACTGAGTGAATCATTAACATGAGATCTCTGATTTCCTTCCTAAAAGCATAACAGACTCTCTTGCCCTTTCCATAAAACATAAACCGTGTTTAATTTGGGCTCAAAACAAGAAATGCCAACAGTAATAGTGTTATTTATGCATAAATGCAATCGTTCACAGTAAACACTTACAAGTAAATGAATAATTGCAATAAAATAATTGATGCCAATAACTTTTTTTTCATAATAAAACGCATTAGTGCAATTCCATTGTGGTGCAGAGTTGTAAAACTTCTTTAAAACTGGTATGATAAAGTGTGTCACATGTCATTTCTTTATCAAAGATGCAGATATGGCCCTTTTATTTCCAATAATGCAATGAGGTTTTAAATGCATTGGTTTGAACAAAATATCCTAGAGCTCACCTGTATATTTTGCTATAAAACAAGGGTAATAATAACCAATTTCAGATTTACCCACCAATAAAATACGTTATTTCAATAAAACAAGGTCATTACACAGGTTGGTCAGATCATGACTTGCAATTTAACGGGCGATTCATATCCAGAATAGGTAATAATGTGCTTTATAGACCACATTTAGTGTCAAACCAAAAATGATTCAGACACCAGATTTAAGTTTTGATGTTAGTGTTTGCAGGACACTATAGTAAATGAGGAGAGCAAAATAAAGTACACTGGGACATATTACACACACATTTTCTTCAGTGTAAAATGAATCAACATTTCGGACCAAAAATGTTTTGCTGAAGTGTGTTTTCTGTAAGTGCTAATGCTCTTTTACACACACACTGAACAACATGAAGCATTGCTTGGTCACTGGTTGAGCTAAACTGGTATTATCTAATTGTGTAGTTAAAGGAGTAGTTCACTTTTCAAAAAACTTTTGCTGATAATTAATGTCATCCAAGATGTCCATGTCTTTCTTTCTTCAGTCGAAAAGAAATTAAGGTTTTTGCTGAAAACATTCCAGGATTTTCTCCATATAATGGACTTCAATGGGGACCAAACAGTTCAAGGTCCAAATGAGAGTTTCAGTGCAAACTGTTCAAAGGACTTTAAACGATTCCAGACGATGAATAAGGGTCTTATCAAGGACCCTTCGAGTCATGACTCAAAAAAAGATTCGTTCATTTTGAACAGGAGAGTCACGAACGTGCATCACAGAACAGAGCAAGGCGAGCAAAACTTAAACTTTGTTATTTATTTATTAAATGAGCGATCGTTTCGCTTGATAAGACCCTTATTCATTGTCTGGAATTGTTTAAAGCCCTTTGAAGCTGCACTGAAACTCTCTTTTGGACCTTGAACCGTTTGGTCCCCATTGAAGTCCATTATATGGATATATGTTTTCATCAAAAACCTTAATTTCTTTTCGACTGAAGAAAGAAAGACATGGACATCTTGGATGACACGGGGGCGAGTAAATTATCAGCAAAAGTTTTTTTTTAAAGTGAACTACTCCTTTAAATTTAACAGCTGACAGATATAAATTTAACAGCCACAGAGTTCGTCATATTTTATCACCATTTTCTAAACTATAGCGATTAAAGTGATAATGTGAGAAATGAATAGTTTCCTGTATAGAAAGCGGAAATCTCAGATCTTCACTGCGAAAACAACAACAAGTCTTGCCTCGACTTGACTCGGAATCAGGAGACAAAAGAAACGGGTTTCATTTAGGCTTTGATGTGTGTGTGAGTGTGTGTGTACGGTCATGGGAATGCAAGCAGAACTTGTGTAACGCTGGTCCGCCTGTACACACACGTCCCAGAGAGAGAGCTTTAGTGAATCCTACAGGAACCAGAACAATGACACAGAGATCAGTGATGAGCGAAGCCCCTACGACACGAAACCAGCGTCGCCCTTCCCAGATTTCAGAAGAGTGACATGACGCTCAGGTGATTACGTCTCCAGGTGTGACACACACACACACACACACACACACACAGGTTTAGCTGAGAGGAGGGTGGAGACGAGCTCGCTCTATCTCTGGACTTTAACACTTGTGATCTACGAAGGACTCTGTACTCTTCAAATCAAGACTAAACACACATCTTTAGGAGTCACCAGCTCTTGTGTTACGGTAAGAGACACTTCAACTGTTCACACATCGGTGTGATGGTAATATCAATGAAACGTGATTAATTATGGTTTTTGAGGCTGGATATTCACAGAGAATCGTTTAATAGGCTAACAAGTCTCGTCATGTTAACAGAAACAAGGTTTGTAGGCTTCAGATGTGGGCACACCTTTACACGCACGGCGCCAACTAGAAGATCAATAATAAAACATCATGTTCAAGGGTTGCAACACTGGCTAAAACAAACAATTGTTGGAGGTTAAAAGAAAGAAAAGGAAAATGTTGCCGTTTGGTGACTTTAACAACACGAGAAAAGGCCCAAAAATCAGCCTTTTCTTATAAATTATCACTTTCACCTTCGATTAAATCAATATTTATTCAATTAATTTATGTATTTGAACAGCTACAGGACTAAAAACTGATTGAATCTTCCTAAAAGCAAAACAAAAGATTCATATCTTTTACCGTGTTCAAATGTGTGAAAAGAAGAAACGCTAATGCTAATTAGAGCCAGACCGATATATCGGCATTTTCCAAAATATTGGTATCGGCAGTTATAACGGCCGATAAATGAATATTTAAAAAATAAAATAAAAACGGGCGAAACACGCTTCAATCATCTCTCCTTGGCCTGTTATATTGAAAATGTATGTTTTACAATTTGCAGTATGACGTTATCTATTGCTAAATTATGGCTCATCATAGACTAGCTAACCACAAAGCTAGCTAACGCCACTATCATCAGTGGAAGACCGCTAACGTTAACATTAATGAGCTTGGAAACCACAATGAACTTTTTCTGCCTAAATAAAGTAATTATTACTGTATTTATAACTAGCATATCTCTAGTTACAGTCCCTGCACTGTAAAATGTAAGTTATACTTGCGAGGAGTGAACATTTAGACATAGAGAAAAAGTATCAAACGTATCTTGTGCAGAAAAGTTAGCTTTTCATTCACACGTGTGTGAAATTCAACAATATTTAATAAAAAAAAAAAAACAAACAAAAAAAAAAAAAAATCGGCCGATGTATCGGATTTTAAAACCCAAAAATATTTGTATCGGTATTGGCCTTCAAAATCCTTTATCGGTCGGGCTCTAATGCTAATCAGTTTAATATTTATGCTATTATATCACAGCAAGGACTTCCATATAAATAATAAACAGATGCAATAATATAATTGATGACAGTATAAAAACAGCATTTTTGATTCAACGACTCTCATATGGCAACATTCACATTTGCTTGAATTAAATTAATTAACACACTGTAAAAAAAATATTTTCATGGTTTTTAATCACAACATTTTTTCTTTTATCAAATCAACTTTAATTTATGTAGTTCAGATAACATAATATTTTGAGTTTTAATTTTGGTGATTAAATTAATCTCCTTCATTGAATGAATAAAATTAAGGCAACTAAGGTTACTTATTTTTTTTAAGTTAAACCAACAATATTTTTTTTTTTTTACAGTGAATCTTGGAGATATGTTGGTGGTTTGTTTGCCAGTCAGACAGGTTGTTTTGGGGATTTATTAGTTAAATTCTTCAAAATTGTGCATTTCCTTTCCAAACATTGGCTTCTCCTCCTCGCTCTCGTTGCATGTTTGAGAAGGTATGCCGTTATGTCCGCGCTCGCCGTCTCCCGCTGCTACTAAAGTGCCGATAAAACCTTTATTGGCCAACAAAACATGTTTTCTGTAGTGCCATACAAATTTAAAGAGTTGCGAGTCACGAAAACTGATCTAATGTGCGAACCGCAAAACAGGGCCGTGAACGCCAACTGGAGTAAACCGCTTCCTATGTGCATTATCACAACAAATGGGACTTATTACTCTTTATTACAAACTAATTTAACCAGTTCTGAGTCACAGAGAACGCAGGTCGACATTACACACGGATTTGTGCAATTATTATAATTGGAGTAAATGTGACTGCATTCCTTTCCCAGAGAAGAATCACGAGTCATTTATAGTGCGTGAGGACGAAACTATGAAAACTGTAACTAATCTCCATCAAATACTGATTCAAGTGAACATCTACATCAGGGATTGTAACATGTGCTTGATGAGATGCTTTACACCCTTGCAACACATTTCATATACATACTGTATATATTAAACATTGGACATATTTCTACATTATACAAACAAATTCTTGGTCAATATGTGCACTTTTTCACATTGTTTAAGCTGATTGTCAGGGGAAATAGGTCTAAATTTAGTCAAATGTGCTATTTGTTTTGGAACTAGACATTCATTTTAAACTCTATAAAAAGGCCACGATTAAAATGGGAAACAATAAGACACCAGAATCCTACACCGGTTCATGCGCATCTTTGTTTACAGTAATAGCGTCACAACCAGTCGCCAGGAGAAGTTGCTAGCAGAGCAAACCGTCCACAATTAAAGTGAAAATGTCATAATAATAATAATTAATAATCACAAGACCATCACAGCCACTCAGAACATATCTGAATTGATCAATGAGATTTCAATACTGTGTATTTATATATATATATTAGGGCTGTCAAGCGATTAATCGTGATTAATCGCATCCAAAATAAAAGTTTGTGTTTATATATATATATATATATATATATATATATATATATATAAATACACACACATGCATGTATATATTTAAGAAAAAAATATTATTTATATATAAAATATTTATATTTATATATAATATAAATTATATATAAATCTATATACAGTATATACATAAAAATATTTCTTAAATATATACAAGCATGTGTGTGTATTATATATATAAAATAAGTATACACAGTGCACCCACATATATTATGTAAACACAAACTTTTAATTAATCGCATCCAAAATAAAAGTTTGTACATATATATGCATATATATATATATATGAGTGTGCGTGTGTGTGGCGACATTTAATTGATCAAAAATGCAGTAAAAACTGTAATAATATGAATTATGACAATTTAAAAAGAACTCTTCTTATATAAAATACAGTAAAAACTGAAATGTTTTTTACAATTCAGAATATCTGTTCTCTATGTGATTACATATTAAAGTGTAATTTATTCCTGTGATCAAGTCAATCATTACTCCAGTCTTCAGTGTCACATGACCCTTCAGAAATCACTCTAATATGAGGATCTGGTGATCAACAAACACTTATGATTATTATCAGCGTTCATATTTTGTTGTAGAAACCATTCTAAATGTTATTTTCCAGGATTCTTTGATGAATAGAAAGTTGTAAATAAACGTCTAAACTGTGACTTTTGATGAATAAATCTATTTGCTGTTTCAGGATGTGTGTAAATCAGTTTCGCTCTGTTTCAGGATCCAGATTTCCCACATGTTGAGATGCCGCTGAGGACGTCGCTGCACCGCAGACCCGGCTCTGGGAGATGGAGGTTATCGAGGTTATCGAGCCGAAAGGAGGTCGTGTCGATGAACATGATCAGTCTTCCTCTGGCTGACTTCCGCCATCTCTCCCACATCGGCGTGGACGGACACACGGAGAGCTTCGGAGACCTGTCGTTCCTGAAGGAGGGCCGGAGTCTCCTGCTCCAGAGCTCCAGGAGCGAGCAGAACCTGTTCCTCACCAGCGACCCGCCTCCGAAGCCGCCCCGCATCAGCCTGGACGAGGATCCGGTCCGGGAATACGGGCCGGGAACCAGATCCGGGAACCCGGTCCGCAGGCAGAAGTGCAGCTCGCTCCCCCTGCTGGACGTCGAGGAAGAGGAGGACGAGTGTGTGGAGGCGGGAGGCATCATCAGGAGTCCTGCTCGAGGAAGCCTGAGTTCGGGACGAGATTCAACACAAACAAACCCGGAGGAAACGCAGAGAGGCGAACCGGAGGAACCGGATATGACCGACGCCGCGTTCACATTCAGTCTGGATCTGGGACCGTCGATACTGGACTCTGTGCTGCAGGTGATGGAGAAAGTCCAGCTATAGCTGTGTGTGTGTGTGTGTGTGTGTGTGTGTGAGACTGGATCTCGGACTCTCAATTGGACTTTGTGCTGCAAGTGATGGAGAAAGTCCAGCTATATCTGTGAACTCTTGCCGCCTGACGTAAAACCGATCAACATCTAAACTCTGAACTTCGTATCACTCAACGAAGCAATTCCTCTTGGAAATGTACGATTAGTTTCAGAATGTACCTTTTTTTAAAGGGTACATATCATGCTTTTAAATCATTCATTTTTACTCATAAATCATAGCGTTGTGGTCTATATAAAACATAACTGCAATGCTTGGGTCTGAAGTCCTCATTATTATAGCTCCACAGGCCCCTTTTCTGATGTGCGTCTGTGAGCGACCCGTTTCAAAGCGGCCCCTTTAAATAAAAAGGAGATGCGTCACACCCCGCCCGCTCTCCAGGTCCATGAGTTCACGGTCGGTTCAACTCCCCGCGTTCGGCCATTATTGTGGTTTGATTAGAGATATACGATTATATACGATACCTTTTTAGTCACTCGTTAATAAAATGTCAACAACAGAAGACTTGTCCATCAAGCCTTACATATTCCAGCCAGAGCGAGCGAGTCGATAAAGACGACGACGAACCTGCAGATCAACCTCTTCATCATCATATGGATATATTGGTATGTGAGTTAACTGTTTTGTGTTATTAGTGAAAGTCGACTATTTCTCTTGTTAAAACAAGCACACCGACAAGATAAATGACTACGGTCTAATCTTACTGTATTGACAATATGATACGTTTAGAAAAGCAGCTAAAACTCAAGAACAATAATACTGCAGACGTGTAACGTTACTTCAAAACAAAAACAAAGACAAAGGTACTGCTAAACCATGACCACCATGTGTTTTAAGAAAGTAAAGTACTTTATTTTTATTAACGCTATTTACAGCTTATGGAAATGCTCTGTTCGTCGTCTCCAAAGATAGAGGAATTGACCTCTCATTCAGACGAAGTCGATCGGCAAACCCTTCGTTGCTGAAGGTTGTTGAAGTGGGAATCCTTGAAGTGCTTCAGGTCACTAACGTACATCCAACAACCGAACATTTTGACTTGCCCTCTCGTAACTTCTGCATCATTGAGCTCGGACTACAAAATCGGAGCGAGAAATAATAATGGCGGATTGCTGGAAGTGTTGGGCCGGTAGTCGATGTCCTTATTTGTCAGTTCCGCTGCAAATACGGTGACGTTGTAGTTCAAAAAACGTCATAGAAAACAGAAAAATCTGAACAGGCTGAAAAATAGGACCAAAACAGAATATAAAGATATAAACGAAGCACCTGAAGAGAATAATTTCATCTTTTCTGTACTTATAAACACTCCAAATATACAACAAAATGCATTTAAGGGCTAAAAAAGTGGATTTTGCATGATATGTCCCCTTTAAAGAACCATTCTCCTGGGAATGAAGTGTGTATTGTGTGCCGCTGTGTGACGGAGGTGACGTCCACTGTCTCGTTCATGTGTGCTGAAGTCTGGCTAATCATTACACAGATTTGATATCAGCACTTCAAACTGAGATTTCCTCGCTCTGATCAGCGCATGTTTAAAACATTGTGAGATTATTTCCTTCTGTCTGCACTGGAATGGTTAAAGCGCTGTATTATTATTAAAAGTCAAACCTGTGAGGTCAGTTCAGCCACAACGAGCCAACTAACTGTTAACTATTAATATAGTGATGATATTTACACATCACCACTGGAGGGAAACAACAGTAATTTCTAAATAAAATAATGTTTTAATAAAAACGCATGTATGTATTTATTTGTGTACATATGTTAATATGCATATTAAAATATATACTAAAAAAATAATTCCCCCACAGAATGCAATAAAATCAGTCCATGTATGATGTAGGCTAAAATAGAACTGAATATTTACAATCAGAAATGTTAGAATATTACAAAAATATTACTATTAATTACAGGTCTGATGAGTCGACTCCTGTTGGCTCATCTAAGCACAAATTAGGCTTTAAAACGATTGATGAACACAAATGGCAGTGAGAGAGAGAGAGACAGAGTTACATGTCCAAACTGTTGCTATTTCTGTGGCAAAAGCAGTGTGTGAGGGAATGTGATACTTCCACATGTGTGAGGATTAAACACTGCCAACTAAACTAACACACACACACACACACACACACACACACACACACACACTCGCTCGTCTGCTGGGAATCATGCCTGATACACAGGTAACATATATATTGAATGTAACATGACACCCTTGCCTCATTTAGTATGAATATGCAAATGAGCCCCGCCTCCACTCACTCACGATCACACGTTGATCTGATTGGTTACAAGGTGGTTTGTGACGTCAGAAATCGTGTTTTTGAGACTGTCTTTGGTTCACTGCAGTTTTAAGGAGGAAATACTCAGCAATGCTGTCCACTAATCAACTTACACACGGTGTGTGTTAAAGCGGATTAAAAACCCATATAAACAACATTAAAAACTGTAGTTTCACCACAGGGGGACTTTAAGAGCTTTTACTCTTATAGACAGTAAATAATTAAAGGGTTAAAATGACTTTTCAGCTACATATTCAATAGAAAAGCGAATAATATTTTTTAAATCTGTGCTGCTCGACTAGAGAAAACAGAGGAAAATTACTGTTGTCTTCACTTTCGCCAAATTAGTAAGAAAACTTCAATACCCATAATGCACTGGGAATGATGTCATCCAAGGCCACTCCCACCAGTCTGCTATGGAAATGTCTAATAAAATAAGTTTATGTCAGTTTTTTTCAGTGAACTTTTAGTTTATCCTAAGGAACTAAAATGTTTTTATGGTCTTGGTTTTAGTTAACGATAATAACCAAGTTTCTTCACATCATTGTTTTGGCCAAGAATTGGTTCGAAATACACAACGGATCAACGGTCCTAAGACAAGAACGGCTATTGCTTAAAATTCATGAATAACTTTGATGAAAGGTTTTGATCCACTTCAAATGTTGACTACTGTTTATATCTAGCAGAAATATGTTCAGAAAACAAAAAATATATAAAAAAATATGAAAATTTGTATTTAGATTTATCGGCAAATATATCGGTTATTGGCTTTAAAATATTAAAAAAAAAAAATTGGTTATCGGTATCGGCCAAAATATTCATATTGGTGAATATAAAAAATATAAAAAAATAAAAATATATAAAATATAAAAATTTGTATTTAGATGTATCTGCAAATATATCAGTTATCGGCTATAAAATATAAAAAATTATTGGTTATCGGTCAAAATATTCATATTGGTGAATATAAAAAAATATATAATAAAAATATATAAAATATAAAAATTTGTATTTATTTTTATCGGCAAATATATTGGTTATCGGCTTTAAAATATAAAAAAATTATTGGTTATCGTATCGGCCAAAATATTCATATTGGTGAATACAAAAAAAAAATAATAATAATAATACAAATATATAAAATATACAAATTTCTATTTAGATTTATCGGCAAATATATTGGTTATCGGCTTTAAAATATAAAAAATTATTGGTATCGGCCAAAATATTCATATTGGTGCATCCCTAACGTAAACGAACCAAAAACAGGAAATGATGTCACAAGAAAAGGGCAGAATTCCTGTTTTTTAGTCGCTGTTTTGACTCCTTTACAGATTTTTAAGCTCTTCATGAGTTTCAGCTGAACAAAATACCATCATATGAAGCCTACGCACACACAACGAGCGCATTTAGTACAGCGCACAACACTGTTCTGACTGTTTATACGTAATAAAAGCAACCAATCAGGTTGTGAACGTATCTTTATGCCTTTAGGTTCGGTGTTAAATTGTGAATTTGAACTGTATCTAGCAGAAATACGTTCAGAAAAGAGTTCAAGAATAACATGCATTTTTATTGCACGGGAACTGGATGTACTTTCAAAATATGAGTTGTACTTTGTTAATAAATGCTAGGCCATACAAAGCTCAATCAATCAAAGCAAAAGGAGAATGAGAGAAAAATAAACCTCAAGGATTTGAAAAGCATGAGGAATATATTTCTCCGTTCACGTCAGGATTGAGATCCTCGTTCTCTTATTATTGACATTAAAACAATGGGCATCGTCCAATAAGTCGTATTCCTGAGCTTTAGCCGACTTCTCAGAAGCATAACGCACGCTATGAGCTGTTCATCATCAAAACCAGCCCGTTCCCAGCAGAAACACAGCGTACTCCTTCACACACTACAACACGACGAGAGAAATCCTCTCACTATCGCATCTGGAAGCACTTACACCCCGAGTATCAGAAGAGTATCATGAGAAATATAAACAACGGGCTTTAATGTATTGTTTTGACAACTCCAGCATTCCTTTCATTATCATAATTATGTCTGACAGTGTCTCCAAACGCGACTGAACACACACACACACACACACTTCAGGTCAATCTGATGAAACACTGGCTTCTGTCAGAATGTATTATTAGTTTGAAATACTCACGATAACTCACAGATTCGTAGTAATTCAAGGACAGACTCATTAAATGAACTGCTAAACGGTTGACACTGAAAGCACAACGACAACAGAACCGCTGGGATATGATTTATGCTGTGAAGCATATTAATAACAGTAATTCGTAGTATTTTGGAGTATTATGTTTGTAAGGATTTTTACACTGCCTTTAACCCTGAGCTAAAGCCTTTTTACTCTAAAGCGAATATTCAGCCGCTTTTAATTGCGGATTAAATAATATTATTTAACACGACTGTAAATGAGAACTTTATAATTGTGTGTTTGGGTCGTGGCTTTCAATAGTGAGACTTTTGTTTTTGTATATTTTTTTATTTTATTTATTTATTTAACAGGGACCATACAGTCAAACATAGTCACAATACAGAGCCTGTAACTGATGCGCAGCATATAGAGTTTATAGCTAATGCTAATTTGCAACTCCTGTCCCTGGTTGGGCATTTCTAAATACATTATAAAAAAAAAATAAATAAATACATACCAATATAAAACAATCCCATTTCTTCAAACACACACACACACAACCAGAAAAGTAACAATTGTTAAAAATGGTTACAGTTTTGGTTTGCCTTTAGCCACAATTTAATCCTTGAAGTCGTATATTCAGGCTCTCAAAAATTATAAAAATTTGGATTTAGATTTATCGGCCAATATATCCGTTATCGGCTTTAAAATATATAAAAAATGATCGGTTATCGGTATCGGCCAAAATATTCATATTTGTGCATCCCTAACGTAAACGAACCAAAAACAGGAAATGATGTCACA